ACCTTTCTAACACTAAATAAAAAATTAAAATTTTTACAAATTCTTTTATATATTAAAATGAAAATACTAATTTGTTGATGTTGAATAGATAAACAGCAGAAAATGAAGTTTTGATGTCTCATCATCTTTTTACATTAGTGTCGCATGAATAGGATCTTGCCATATTTATGACGAATTGCCATTTATGAGACTGATGGTCTTTAATTTAATCAGAAGAAGTTGGCTTGTAGATTTGTAGTTGTACGAATATGATATATTTTTTTTTAATGTTAAGTTTTGCAACTTGATGTTCATGCGGTCATTCCCAATGGTATGTTTTTCTTGCACGAAATGTCTCCACATGTTTATAAAATTTAGATTATCACGAGAGGAAGTTTTAAGAATTTTTTTTTCTTTAACAATAGTCTGCCTTAATGAATAGAAATCGTCAATTTTCATTCAATTATATTCAGAATTTGTTAAAAGTCAATTTATCATAGAGTAATTAACAGAAAAAGTCTTTTAATATTGATTAAAAAAAATTATACCAATTTTAAAACTGGTAGAAGTAGGGGTATACAAAATTTTTATTATTATTTTATATCAATTTCGAAACTCGTATAAAAGATTCATGTTTTGTACTGGTTAAATGGTATAAAAAAGATATTTAAAATAGTGAAATCCTTATTCTCCAATCTTTCAAATAGATTTCATACATGGACATATTCATTTAATTATTTGATTCATTATAATACTTTAACAACTAGTATTAGTCATTCTATTAAGATGGATTTCTCTAATTTGACCCAATAAAATAAGCAAACACTTGGTGTGCATCTTTTTCAATCTTTTTCTCTCGAGACACGCTTCCATCATTCCATTATAGAAAAACATCAAATTTGCGCCACCATATAACTCATCAACAACATTCTCTATCTCAATGACAAAATCATAAAAAAAAAGGACTCACTTCCATTTAGAAGGTGGTGTAGATTGAAGCACGAACTTGAGATCACCGTTCCTCGTGCACAAAAAAATAGGACTTTCAAAATCAAGTCGCACGAACTCCCCTTAGCAAACGAGGAGGTCTTTGACAATGCCATGTCTTGCAAAGTCCTTCCCACACTTTCGACGTCAATAATGACAATAGGAGCCACCTTGAAAGGAGAGGTAATGACAATGGTAGAGAGTGTGAATCTGAATGTGATTATGGTTGTGGGAGAAATGGAGAAGGAGAGTGAAGTGGTCATAAAAGATTGCAACGACCATTGCAGTTTTCTTTGTGGAGCTAAGTTATGATGTTTGTGGATGAAGCTAAGTTATCATAACATTTCTTTTTTATTATAAAATGCATTTTTATATACCAGTTATAATTAGAATCGATATAAAAAGTTTTCTTATTTATTACAAAAATATCACTGTGTATATTTTCTATACCGATTATAATTATACTAGTTATAATAAACATTTGTATAATTTTTTTTTCTTTATTACAAAAGGGTCACCGCATGTACTTTATACTTGTTATAACTAGTACTGGTATAAAAAATCTTACAATATTTGTAACTATGTTACCATGTCACCTTTTATATAAGGTGAATTACAACTAGTATAAAAAGTCAGTATAAAAAATATTTTTTGCATAATATTTTTTACGATTTTAAATTAATCTCAAAAAGCATTTATGGTAATTTTTTTAATTATTTATTAAAACTCATTTTGTCAAGAGGCTTAATTTAAATCTAATTCAATTTTATAAAAATTAGTTTGCAATCACTTATATGTATTATAGTTATCTTATCTTTAGTTTGATACGTGATCTTCAACACATTTTAAATTTAAAATTGGGACATTAAATATAAAATACGAATAAATTAATTATTGGTTGTTTTTCCTTAGTAGTCTTTGATTTGAATTGTTATACCACTATATTAAATATTTGTATTTAACTAAAACAAAATTATTTTTGAAGAAAAGTAAATCTCAAAAAAAAAAAAAAATCTTTAGAATAATGTCCTAAATTTATTGTTGAGCAAAGTAGAAAAATTCTAATAGCAAATTGACGGTACGTAGTAGAAATGTACCTGCGTCCAAAGCCATTGACTGAGGAAGGGGCAACTTCCAAGTTTAAACGATGACGTGAAATGAAATACTTGTCAACGTTAATGGCGAAAGTAAGCTAAATTGGCATTTTAATATAAGAAAATGATCTTATCTTAGGCATAAAATTTTGTCTTTTTCCACAATTTTTCTGTAGAGAGAAGCTTCTATGGAAAGTTTAATGAATCATTTGGAAGAAAAGTAACATTTGGTAGGTTAGAAAAATCCATCACGTTTAGTAGTTTGTTTTATACGGAAATCAAATGAGACTGCAATTTCGTTTTAGATCCTGCGGTTTGAGAGATGCACTTGTCCTTTCACCAATTGATAATTGCTATTTCTTTTCTTTTTTCACTTTGCCAAAGTAATTGTCATCTTTTCACTTCTTTCTCTCTCATTGAAAAGTCTTGCATCAATTTGAACAGTCTCCTTGCATTATTAACATATCTAAGATAAATAATATATAAAGAAAAATTGTATTGAATAAGACCCAAATGATGTTTTAAACACAATGCGATATCATTTCATTATAAATATTTAAGTCCTAATAAAAGTGTACACCGAGATCCCATCAGCTATTCAAAATAAGGTTAGTATGGTTAATCAAGATTAGGTTAAAAAAACCCTAAACTATCTAGGAGAGGTCTTGATTTATATAATATAGGTATATCTATGTAAAAGCTCACAAAAAGTACTATAAATAACACTATTTTTGAAATAACATTTATGTATTTAATACTTCATTTATTGTTTTTTTTATGCATATTAGTGACTGTGAGACATACAAATATTTGGGATTTAGAAGTATCCAAAAAGAAAACATCTTAGCCTCTAACATAAGAAGATTTGGTATAACTTGGATTGAAGAGGACATCATTGAGGGAGGAGTATTTCTAGATTTGGGTTAAGTTGTTTCATGAGTGAGTTCATAGTTAATTATATTTAAATTTTTCTCATATATTTTTTATCTCACTTAGTATACTATGTTATTGGATATCTCTTTATTTAGATATGGAAAGAATTGATATACTTTCTCTCCTTTAAATATATTCATATGTGCATGTATTTTTATAAAAAGGTTTATATAGTATTTTGGTAACTATTTTCGTTTATTTTATTTAATATAGTTCTCTTCTCTTTTTTTTTTTGCAAGTTCAATTAAGTAAAATAAAGACCTAATTGAACACAAAATAATGTAACAAAGTGAACAAAAATAAAAACCTAAACCCTAAACAAAAATAGAATCTAAAATAGTATTTAAGCCTTATAAAAACTATATTTTATTTTTATCTTAAAAAATTGATTTATTATCAAACCTAATTACATCTAACCATTAATGTACTCAATCTTAATAAGATGCATTTTTTAATCATTATTGTATTATTTTATTTATTACAATTTATGCAAGAAATTAACTAAACATTTGGCTACAACTAATAATTCAATTCTGTTATAGAATTTTATTTTCTCTTTTCATTTTAATTAGGATAGGTACATACATTTATTTTATAGGTTATGATGTACTCTTTTTTAATTTAATTATAATATATTCTAAATCCTACTCCATATCTCAAATTTTGATTTATTTATTATCAATTTTTTCCTACTACTCTTTGTGAGTTTTCTAAGTCATTGACTTTATTGTAACGCCCTTGAGTACTTTAAATAAGATGTAAATAATTTTCCTACAATGTAAAGTTATAGAGTTCAACAATCCTCTTAAGTCTACAAGACACTTTTTTTTTGTCTATAATAGCATGAAAGTGAAGTTTAGTTCCTTTTCAAATATCACCCACTTTGAACTCACAAAACTCAATATTCCAATACACTTATTGGCTCTTCGTAAGACATGATCTTTGAAGTTTAGAGAATAAATTTTAAATTAAATAAAAATGAACACGTTCTTTGAAAAAGACTATAAATAGATTTAGAACAATTTATTCTTTACTCATTGTAAAATTTCAACTTTCTAAACTTTAAATTATTTACATCCTTTCTAAGTTTCTAAATTGATCATTTATCATTTTCATGATCTCTTTGACGAGATATCGAAAAATAGATTGTTTGAAATCTCAATCTAGCTAAATAGAACTTATTTCTTCCTACATCCCATTATTATTAACTGCACCCTGCATAAAAAAGCTAAAATACTATTTTAAACAATAGACACAAATGGTGATAATGTTAAGAAGTTAAAGGTATATGTGAGAAGGAAAAAAGGAGATGAAATTAAAGGTGAGAAAGGAGGTTAGTTTGTTAGTACATAGAGAGTATAAATAAGAAACAAAATAGAGGGAGAGAGGGTTATTAGATATTTTTTTGCTTGGGTATACACTGGACATCTTTTCTAGTGGAGGAAGGGAGGCTTCCTTGGGGGAACACTTACTTGTATTTCTTCTTTCTATACATTACAAATTGAATAAAATACATATACATACATTTTATCTTCTACTGTTTAGAGTATGAATGAGAAGAGATAAATCTGTATAGAGTGTGAGTGAGAAGAGATAAATCTGTTTTGGTTCCTTGAATAAAGGAACCTAATAGATTTGGTCTGACCTATTGGATTTGTATCAGAGGGAAGAAGAGCGAGGAGAGAGCGGTAGAGAAGAAGAATGGAGGGACGAGTGATGGAGATTGAGTCGACGGTGGAAGAATTGAAGGCGGAGATGTGAGCGGTGACTGAGGATGAGCACTGCCTATCATCTAGAAATTGATGGTCAGACTGAAGTGTTGAATAGGGTGCTGGGAACATATTTGCGCCATTTTAGTTCCGAACACCCAAGAAATGGAGTTTGATGTTGCGTTGGGTTGAATATTGGTACAACACCAGTTACTAAGGAGCATCCAAGTGCACACCCTTTGAAACGGTGTATGGAAGACCCCCTCCCACATTGACACGCTTCATACCTAGAGAAATAATGGTGGAAGCAGTTTCCCAGGACCTGCAAACACGCGATGAGGCTTTGAAGCAACTGAGATACCATCTGGCCAGAGCTCAAGACCAGATGACACAATATGCAAATAAGAAGAGGGTGGAGGCCAAGATCAAGGAGGGAGATTGGGTATTCCTTAAAATCAGGCCTCATAGACAGACATCTATGCCCACAAGGTTACACCCAAAGCTTTCAACAAGGTATTATGGACCATTCCTAGTAGAAAAACAAATAGGATATGTTGCTTTTCGGTTGCAGTTATCAGAAACATCAAGAGTACACCATGTATTTCATGTTTTCCAGCTGAAGTTAGCTATAAGAGAACATCGAGTTAAAGGAGCCCTACCAACTGAACTACAAGATGACAGACCCATGTACACCCCTTTGAAAGTGCTACAACGAAGAAACTAGCAACAACAAGGAAAGGATATACCCCAAGTCTTGATACAATGACAAGAGGAAAGTTTGGAAGGTGCACTTGGGAGGAGGAACACTACATCCGACAACAACATATAATTCTTAGTGTTTCTTAAAAGTAATTATATTGCTAGATTATCATTTAAGTTCATAAAAAATAATAATGATTGAACTTACAAGTTTCATATTAACTTACGGTAAATAATTCACACTACGATCTGGATAATTTTAAACTAATGAAATTCTGTTTAAAAAGTTTAAATTCAATTCAAGATGTTAATTTATATAAATAGAAGATAATATTACCAAAATGTAAGTCCCTCTATGTTTTAGAAGTCTGCAAAGAAGAAAATAGGCATAATCAATGAGAATTTTAACAAGATGACTGTTAAAAGCTTCATTTCGAATCATAAGAAATTTATTCTCATTAAAGTCAATACAACCTACAAACTTCTGCAAGCATCTGAGAAGCACTAATTGGAGCATCGGTACCACACTGAAGTACATAATATATAATTATCAATATTATATGAATCAAAATGGTAAAAATTGTTGGTTCACAGTAGATTACATAAATAGTTGGTTTACCTTAGTTATTGTCTTAAATTTTTTTATGCTGACATTTTTTTACGGAAAGTTATCGTTTCAATTTTTGAAAGTGTTTATATTTTTCAAAGTAGTCCTTGAATGTTAGTAAAGTAATTAAAAATGGATGCACTTCACTTGCTATGGACAATCTAAGTGCATATCAGAACAGACAATAGACGCACTCACAAAATTTCATGAACAGATTGACGTAACCAGATTATGATCCTCGATTTTCCATTCTTTTCCAAATTCTAACTTTCAAGTATGGCCCTTAAAGATTTATAGATATTTTGACTTCAGGAAACTACAAGACATTCAACTTTGGTTGAAGAATCAAGGTTCAAAAGTATGTTGTTATAAATGCTTTACAGTTTTCCGACCTAATCATGCCGCTCCCAATCTTGAGTGAAATTTGCAGATGATGTTGGGGCATTCAAGCTCCCCATTCCAGAGTCAAAGTGCTCCCACTGGGTTCCCACAGAGACAGTTTTAACAGTGGTGGGTACCGGCTTGGAGTTTCTTTCCTTCAGAGCATCTAAAGTATCGACAAAGTTCTGCACACGACGCACCTGTTGACTGGTGAAAACAATTTATCTTCAGGGCTTTTAAAGAAAATGAAATTATGAATGATTATAAATATAAAAACTGGACATGCATCACTCACCACCTTGCATTAAGCACAAAACAATACATTTTTTTCACTCCATGCCAAGAAGGAGGGTAGAAGGATAGTTTGCAAGAAGAGTATTTGATAAATATACTCATAGTGACAAAAAATGCACATTAAGTTTCAACTCCACGACATGCATCAACCGCCATTTATACATAATGCATTATTTCAGTTATATTGATGATGTGACTGGATCTAGTTTACAGAAAAACAACTATGAGAATTGAGAGAGTAGATGACATGGTTAGGTGATCTAAACACAAAACATAGATAAAAATCAATAAATTAAGATGATATGAGAAGAATTCACAAAGGATTTGGCATAGAACTCATTTTTCCACGGTAATTAGGCATATTACAGTACCCTATACAGATAAGCTTGACGGGAAAAGCAGAGAAGGTTGAAGTAAAGCCACTATTTTTACTACCATAAAAATTTGGGTTATAAAACTTAAACTAAAATGGTTGCATGCGGGTATGCAATTAAACTCATTCCTAAAACCATCCTCTAACATCACTAGATGTAATTTTTTTCCCCAATCCACATCAAATGTTTTTCTCCTTGATGAGAAAAATATTGTTACTTGACCAGCAACAACCCCGGATTTTTCATAATATATTTCCAGGACTACATCAGGATCTAAACCAGCACAATTTTCTAGTGAAGCTTTTGAGTATAAAAAGTGCTTGCTAAGAAATTTAACACCCAAGATAGAATGTGTCAAAAGTCATCTTAGAAATGGAAGTAAATAAAAGTCTCATATACATGGATAGGGTAAGAAAAGAAAAACTTTTTGATCCACATGCTGGCACAAAATATTGAGTTATATTGCGCCAATGATAACTTATCCAAATATAAATGAAATAGGTGCTAACCAACATATTGCAAATGACAAACCAATAGAATTGTTTTGTGGTTATGGACATAAGCTCAATAATTAATACAAAGTTAAATTTTCTACAAAACCGTAGATACTCTACCTCAGCTTTTCTCTGCAGCTTTGCTTCACCTTCAGCCTGAATACCATCCAGCTTCAGCAATTGCCTCATAAGCAACTCCGTGCACGTCGAAAACTCTTTGTCAGAAACCCTGGTCCCTCCATCTGTAGCTACTTTCAATACAAATACCTGCAAATCAAATATGCATACCTTATTCTTAGGTCCTGTTATTATTTCTCGGTAAGGGATAATAATACAGGAAACACAAACTCACCCTCTCAGCAAGCTCGTCCACCTCTGCTCTGACTTCAGCAACAGCTTCAATAGCCTTTAACATGTCATTATGTTTTCTAATTTCCTCAATTTTCCACTCTTCACTAGCAGTATTGTCCAAAAGCAAAAGCTTTGATTTGTCCAGCACACCTTCTACGTACAAAGTCTCTTCATTGTACTTTTCTTCTCCTCGGAAGAAGAGTTGCTGCTCTTCAGGCTGTAAACCAGTTTTGTTTGCAAGCAGTTTCTTAACATCCCCTGCCATCGAAGACTTGGTTAAGAGAAAAACACATACCAATGTCAACAGGACATAAGCCTATTGAAAGCTTATGCATACTTATTTGAGCTTATTAAATTTCCTTGTTTCAGTTTGATGACTATGCACAATATCTCAACTTGGCTTATATCAGAATATTGGCCTATTGAAAACTTACATCAGAAATGACAATGCAGAATATAACCTTTCCCATAAACTCCAGCTTATTTAAATAAGCTTATTAATAAGTGTTTAATTAAACTAAATCATAAACATATTCTAGGGCATATATTACTTTTATGCAGCAACTTCTAAGACAACAACTGTTTTACTGAAACATACTCCAAATTAAGGAACAACCATGTCATACCACAGGACAAAACATTAATCAGTTATGTTAAGAACATATCACGGAAAAGAAATTATATAATATCTTCAGGTCCCAGAACTGTCCAGTTTATCAACACAGTCTTCTTAATTTCATAAAAAAATAGAGTATTGTCAGTGTTTTTGTGTGAGTATATGCTGAGTGGTCACTCTGGATATCAACTGTGTCTATACTGATAAGAACCCAAATAGAAATACATGATTCCAAAAAACAGTTGTCAACCAACCACAATCCCAGTAACAGCATCAGGGTTTTTTTATTCACATCAAAAGTCATTCTAACCACGTGAGCAGAATTCTGATCTAATGGCAAGGATAATTAGTTACTAACTCGCAAGCAAACACAATTAAAAACTGAAATAATTAAACAAAAACAAGAGTAAAATCCGTCAGAACATGCATAATCTCAAAAAATTATAACTCTGTAATCTCATCCCGTGGATTCACCTCCTTCCCTAATTCATCTGGTTTGGATCTCAAAAAATTGCCTATACTAAAACAAAGAACATGTTAATTTCATAGAAAAGACCTAGTTTTCTTTTTTTGTTTTGCATGAATTTAATCTCTACTCTCCTCAACCAATCAATCAATTCCTAACACGTATGCATAAAACGAGCCACAGTGAAAAAATTGATCCATAAAAAACATGAGATATTGTATGGTGTTGACCATATGGCAAAAGGCAGGAAGACTTCTGGAAACTGTGAATGTGCAAAATCCAATGGCTGAGATGTGTTTGAGAAAAAGAGAGAGAAGATACTAACAGAAAGTGGAGTTCATCGGTAAGAAGAGGTCGTGGTGAGAAGAAGAGTGCGTCACAGTGATCGTCATCATCATCACCACGTTCTTGTAGATGGCGCCGTTATCCTCGGTGGCGGCACGTCTCTGCACCAACATGCCGCCTGGCCTCATCTCCCACTCCATCTCTGCAACTGTTCCTACAGACAACACGGTTGTCGTCGTTACTGTCGTTCACTTTTCCTGCCTTTCTTTCTGATCTCTAACCCCACCAACAACACGTTATTATTTATAATTTCAGATAAATCTAATAAATTTGTTTACTAGTAACCAATTTTGTTAATGATATATTTATATCTTAAACTATTATACTTTTTCAAATTTTATTAGTTAACTTTAAAATTAAATTTTTTTTCTGGTACTAATTTTGAGATTATGCAATTTGTTTATCTTTCCCTGAGTTGCCTTTTAAATTAATTACTTGTGATCCATAACAAATATGTGATATTTATGGCTTTAACTCTAAATTATACATTTTATTAGTTAATTTTTTTACTTATGAAAATTTTTATCATTTACTTTTCAATTATATAATATTTTTATTAAATGTTAATTTCGTAAATCATACCAAGTATATAATATTTTTACTTATGAAAATATTTTTAAAGATTCATAAGTATATGTTTTTTTTAATTTTATTTTGATCTTAAAATTTCTCCAAATATTTAATCTAATGTTATCTAGTTAATCGTTTGAAAAGTATTTTACCACATAATAATTATGAAAAATAAAGATTTTTCGTGGTTAATAGACGAAAACATAAATTATCATAGAAAAGAAGATGCTATTTGAATAAAGGCTTAATACCCTATTTTGTCCTCAGTTTTGCTCGACAATGTCAAATTAGTCTATCCTTTATAAAACGTGTGTCAATTACGTCCCTACTTAATAAAATTTATATTAATAAAATCCCTTCCGTTAAATCAGTACAAACGGCGTTAATTATTTTTCTCTCTCTTCTATTAACGCCGTTTGTACGGATTTAACGAAAGGGATTTCATTGATATAAATTTGATTAAGTAAGGACGTAATTGACGCACGTTTTAAAGGATGGACTAATTCGACATTGTCGAGCGAAACTGGGGACAAAATAGGGTATTAAGTCTTGAATAAATTTTGTATTCAAATTTATGTTTCCACTATATACTCCTTTTTTTGTCAACATTACCTGAAAATCATATTGTTATTTTACCTCAAATCGACAATGGAATACAACATGTGATTCTTATTGGTTGAACAATCACATTTGAGTTAATGAAAATTTGGAAGATTCTAATTGGTTTTATAATCACATTTAAATTAGGTTTAATCCTTTTCGGCATCCCTATTTGTGCAGGATTGTCTTAGATAGATCCTCGTTTTCTAAAGTGTGTCAAAATGGTCCTTAATTTTGAAAATTGAAATCAATTGAGACCTTCCCGTTAATTTGGTTGGACGTCGTTAAAGAAATTGATGCGTGGGTTGCTGAGATGACCAAATGGTACTTACGTGGCATAGTATTGTTGTTGACCTGGCTTTATGGTGAGTTTTTATATTTAAAAAAGTTAAATTTTTAAATCAAAACGCAACGTTTTGATTTTTAACAGAATAAATGAACGTTTTAAATGAAGGAATCCCTAAATTGAAGGAATCCCTAAATTGGAGGGTGTTGAGCTTGTTGCAAGAAGGGAATTTTCTAAACCTCTCTCGGGAACGTGCTCGGGATCCTCCTCGCTCAACGACGACGTTTCTGAGCCCTTATTGCAGGAGACCGGCGACCCTCTCTGCACCTTCGCCTTCTCTTCGCAGGACTCCTCGTCGCAGCATTGGCCCCTCTTCGATTCGGAGATCGACGATTTGTGCGCAGAGAAGGAGTCCAAGCGGGCGTGGCGGAATAGCT